GGAGGGAGACATGAGGACCCAGACTGTGGGGGCGATATGCTGACTCTGTAAACCGCTTAGAGAGGGCTGAAAGCCCTATGAAGCGGTATATAAGTCTAACTGCTATTGCTATTGCTATCTTCCACCTTTTCCCAATCCACCATGAATGCACCCCAACCCATATCTCAAGGCTCAGCTCTGCTTCAAAACTATTGTTCTATCTAGAAAGCTATTATTTTCCATCCTGAGGCCTCTTAAGCTCTTCTGGATGAATAGTCAACTGTGCTTCACTTTAGTCTAAGAAGAAAATAACTTTATTAGGGTCATAGAGCAGCAATAGACATCACTGTTTACAATATATTAAAAATAGTACTGACATTAATAGTGGATAATAACAACCCTCTTAAGAAAATATATGTTCTCAAACAGTTAGGGTCACTCCCTATTTACGTGAGTTGAGACCCAGTAAATATGAGAGTAAATTTCTTTTTCCAAAAATTGTTAGAGATTTCTCCAGAAAATTGGCATAAATTGACAGCTATAATTCTGTAACCATTTTTTTCCCTTGTGGACATTGCAGTGCTTCAGTGCTTCACTTTAGTCTAGCAATAACCCTGCACAGATTGGTTACAATGCCTATCACATCTCCTCCCATCCAGGGACTGGTTCATGTTCTGTATCATCATTTGATTCTGGATTGCCATTGTCTCATCTGGTCAGAAATTTCCCTTCCCTCCTCTTCTAATAGATCCAATAGTGTTCCATAAAGTCCCTGGAACCCAATAAAATCTCTGGTCATATTTTTGCCCTCACTTTTCTGTCAGGATATTTCTGTCCAACCCATACATCTCACAATGTATTGGAGCAAGAAAGGTGTAAACCTCCAAAATCAATGTTACTCCTTTGCTTCTATGAACCTGAACCATTAGCTCTTCATTGTCATGACGTTTCCAAGCATTTAAAGTGAAACAGAGAAATGAAGGAACAACTGTTCCATTTGCTTTTATCATTGGAGCACCAGTGTAACGTTACCATCCTCTGCTACCAAATGTGGTTCGTCCATGAGGCCAATGTGGAGAAAAGACAGGACACNACAGAGTCAGCCTATTGCCCCCAACAATCTGGGTCCTCATTTTACCCACCTCGGAAGGATGGAAGGCTGACTCAAACTTGAGCTGGTGAGATTCAATCTGCCAAACTACAGCCAGCAGAAGTAGCCTGCAGTACAGGGGTGAAATTCAGCAGGTTCTGACAGGTTCTGGAGAACCGGTAGCGGAAAGTTTGAGTAGTTTGGAGAACTGGAAAATACCACCTCTGGCTGGCCCCAGAGTGGAGTGGGAATGGAGATTTTGTAGTATCCTTCCCCTGCCACACACACCAAGCCACACCATGCCCACCAAGCCACGCCCACAGAACCAGTAGTAAAAAAAAATTGAATTTCACCACTGCTGCAGTACTGCCCTCTAACCATTGCGCCACCATGGCTCATCTCAACTTAAAGTTGTCAAGATTGGAAACACTGGTCTAGAGCAAAGAAACTGAAGGGCAACATGATATGATAGCCATGGTGAGGTACGTAAAGGGAAGCTACAGAAAAGATAGTCAGAAATTATTTGACCTGGCCCAGAAACTAGGTGTAGAAATAACAACTACGTGTTTAAAATCCATTAGAATATAAAAGAAAATCTTCCCGTCAATAGCATGTGTACAACAGTGAATAGTGAACAACAGTGAATATTCCAGTTAGAATCCAAAGGTTATAGGTTTTTTCTCTCTGCGTTATTTTTTTTAAAAACATTAACCATCTTTCATTAGTGGCAAATTAGTTTTCCTGCACATTGTAATGGGTTGGACTAGATGACCCTTGTTGTCCTTTCCAGTTCAATGCAAATACCTTACAGGCAGTATAGCCCCCCTCCCCACCGAGTGCAGTCCATACCTTATTCTTGACCATCTCTATCCCAATCATAAGTCCTTTGCCACGAACATCTCCAACACTTTCAAATTTATCCCGCAGCTTTGCAAACTCTAAGAGTAAGTGAGTTCCGACCTCTTGGCAATTTTTCTGCAAGCCATCTTCCGCTATTGCCTAGATGCCCAAAAACCATAGAAAAAAACCATCAAGCATTCGGAAATAGCATTGCCGGCACATTTAGTTCTATAAGGGTCCTTAAGAACTAGATGGAAATAACTTTGATAAAATCATGACCAGTCAAAAATGATTACAATGTCAATGAACTTCATTACGTGTCAACACATGGAAAAATTTGGAAGTACATTCAATCTAATAGAATACAGCTAGTCCTTGACTTACAGCAGTTCATTTAGTGGCCGTTCAAAGTTACAACGTCACTGAAAAAAGTGACTTATGGCCGTTTTTCACAGTTACAACCTTTGCAGCAATCCCATGATCCTATGATCAAAATTTAGATGCCTTGCAACTGGTTCATACTTACGACCCCAAAGTCATGCGATCAGTTTTTGCAACCTTCTGACAAGCAAAGTCAAGCAAAGCCAGATTCACTTAACAACCAGGTTTCTAACTTATCAACCACAGTGATTCACTTAACAACGGTGGCAAGAAATGTTGTAAAACGGGGAAAAACTCACTGAACAAATTCTCACTTAACAACAGAGTTTTGGGGGACAATTGTGGCCGTAAGTCGAGGACCACTTGTATTGAGGGGCTTTTGGGGGGGGAAAGGGGGATCCAACATTAAAATAGTGGGTGCAGCTGAGGCGAAGTCCTGCCCCAGTATATTTTCAATATATTTGCAATGCTTGTGATCCACACTAAAAAAGGGGGTAGAGCTTCAACCCCCCCCCCCCCAAAGTACTGGCACCAATATTTTGCAAATGTCCATGGCGATATGGAGAATGTGTAACTGTCTTGCTGTGAAGTACTGTGGAAATTATACAAGCATATTTTTTCTCCTGTTCCACTGTGTTCAATTCTTGGAAACTGGAAAAATCCCTGCAGTTTTCTTGGCAAGGTTTTTCAAAGTGGTTGGCCTTTGCCTCTTTCCCAAGGTCTCCCAGCTGGCTTCATTCCTGAAGTGGTACTAGAACTCACCATCTCCCAGTTTCTGGACTGATGCCTTAATCATCACATCAGACTGCCTCTCTACAAATGTGCAACGTCCCATTAATTTCACTGAGGTTTGCAATAGATGAATAATCTGCATTAATCTATCTACACGAAATCCTTAGTTTTAGTGCTTATTACCTGCATTGTCATGCCCCAGCATATAACTTTTATATACTGTTGTTGTTCTCTAGCCTCATCTAGTGGCCGGAGGGACAAATATGCCCTAACATATTATCTTTATATACTGTTGTTGCTCTCTAGTCCCATCTAATGGCCAGAGGGACAAATATGCCCTAAAATATGATCTTTATATACTGTTGTTGCTCTCTAGCCCCATCTAGTGGTCGGAAAGACAAATACCAAGTATGTTGTTTGAAGCTGATTTAAACCATTTGCCCATCAGCTCGCACTCCCAAACCAAGTGCATGCTGGGAAGCCAGACTCCATTTCCTTTAGCATTTGGAGAAGGCAGAAGCACAAGGAGGGAATCCATCTTAATCTGTGGCACATGGTCCTCCAAGGACAAACCCACAACCCAGACACAGAGCATCGCTGGTGAGATTTAAATTGCTTGTATTTATTAATTGTTATGTTCAGCGGTAACGTAATGCTGTCTATTTTGTATTTGGGTCTCATTATATGTATCCCTATTTTCCCCAGTTTCACCATATCCTGTTCTTTCAATAAAGCATCCAGATCTACGCACAAAGTCTGTTTTATTGGAGGATAGGTGGGTTTAGTTGCACACAGAGCAATGTGTAGTGGAGACAGAACATAAAGGGAAACCTTCAGCCTGCCTTTGCTTTCCCTGCATTTAAACAGAGAAGGAAGTTATGTTTGAAAATAAAAAAGATTCCAGATTGTTCTGCTACCATGTTTCCCCGAAATTACGACATGTCCTGATAATAAGGCCATGCCACATTTTTCTGGTGGGCAAAAATATAAGCCCTCCCTCGCAAATAAGCCCCCTGGACAACCCCCCACCTCCAGCCAGGCAGAGCGCCACTAACCAACCTAGCGGTATCCCAAAGGTGCCAAGCTGCGGGAACCGAGGGGGGAGGCAAAGGTGATTGCGTTGCTTAGCGCCTTCGGGATACCGCTAGGGTGGTGAGTGGCTCTGTGCCCAGCTGAAGAGGGGGGTTGCTGGGCGGCTGCTCTCTTGCAAGCAGGCTTCCAAAGAGCCGGGCATAGCCTCATGGGCGAATGGCTGTGTTGTGCTGTCGCAGCAGCGCAGCACAGCAGCCATGAAGCGACCACGCTCACGAGCAGCCACCCGGCAAACCCCTTTTCCAGCCAGGCACAGCGCCGTTCAGATACCTAGGGGTATCGCCAAGCTGCGTGAGCGCCTGTTCGCCGCCGCCCGGCTCCTATGGCTTGGCACCTTTGAAATGGCAGCCCAAACCATAGTTTGTTTGTAAAAAGAAAATAAGACCCTGTCTTATTTTCGGGGAAAACACGGTAGAAATGAATAAAGAATCTCTAGCCAAGGTGACTAAATGTGCCAGCATTAAGGCACAGCAAGACATCCTTTTGGGAACCAAAAGTCCTTTAATTTAAGGGTGGAGGGGGAAGCAATTTTGTCCAAGCTCATAAATAATAATATAACTAAAAACCAATGAAAACATTTTCTTACATCCAGGACCGCAGATCCAACTGCACAAGCCATGGGATTGCCTCCAAACGTGTTGAAATGGAGGCTCTCTGTCAAACTGTGTGCAATTTCTAAAACCAAAACATATCAGTATTAATAAATGAAGCTGTAAGGTCATTCATTAAAGAGATCAGCAGCTGGGAGAAACATAAAAAGAGAGACCTCCATTTACAGTGAACATAGTCCTTGACTTACACATGAACCATTCATGACTTACAAGAGATTCTCAGACTTACATACACGGCAGTTTTCTCACAATCATGTGATCAAAATTTGGGTGTTTGGCAACTGGCATGTATTTACAGGTATTGCAAATGTTGAGATGCATATTAATGATCAGGCCTGTTGTGGCCTGTCGGCCGCCAGCCCCTCCACCAGCTGAATCAGAAGAGGAGAAGGCCTGGGAGCCAGGGTCAGGATCAAGGTAATTGAGAGCTCTGAGGGGGAAGAAGGAATGGAGTTGGCAGAGAGAGAGAGAGACAGAGGCAGAGGCAGAGCCTGGGCCGTCCGTCAGCCCTCAGATGGAGAGTCAACAGCCCCCAGGTATGGAGGTGGCTGATGAGGAAGAGGAGGAACAGCTGGGTCCAGTGCCTGATGCGTGGTTGCGCAGAAGGCAGAGGAGAGGAGAGCAGTGGAAATCTACGGGCCGGTCCTTGGGACGGAAGAACTACCTCTGCTAATGAAGCTCCACCCTAGCTCTGGGAATAAAAGGTGGGGGGCAGAGATGAATAGGTGTGGCAGACAACTATTTATCCCCCTG